TGCGTTGCATGTTGGCAGACAACGACAGCGAAGTGCAGGTATCCAAGGTTGCCTACGTGGCGCCTTGGGAGTTGATGTCGGCCCATGATGTGGTCTTACTTGATCTTGATGGGCGCAAAGAAGTTGGGCAAGTATTATTTTTTGCACGAGTGGGCATTCAAGATGTCGCTTGCGTGCAATTGTGGCAGCCTTTGGGGCAAAATGCCTTCAGCCCGAGTGGCACGCCCTTGTTGTGCAGTTTCGACTACATTCGTTCCACTTGTGTGTACTCCGAACGTGGGGAGGTCAGGATTGTTGTGCCGCCGTCGTGCGCAATGTCGCAGTGAAAACACACGATGTGCTCAGCAAGCTCTTGCGCCAGCTAAGGTTTTCACATTTTGTACCCCATATTTAGCATCTTTACCTTGAAAGCTGCAGGGTGTACAACCTTCATGTCTTGGAGTATCCCAACCGTGCCAAGTCTTCTTGGCGCCCTTTTAGGCCCCGCCATTTTTTGGGGGGACGCTCTTTCCCATATAGGCAATGTTTTGGTCAAGCCCACGCTTTGTATTCACAAGGTTGTTCCGGCGAGGTGTTTGCGAAGCACTGCTTGTGCTTTATCAAGATCCCGCGGGCGAGCTTCTGTTGTAGCCCAGCCACATTAAGCCTTGCAGGGGGGCATTCGCGAAACGCCGCTATCTTCTGTTTTCAGCACCGACCGAGGTATACCATATAGGCCAGACACATGAGACCCTGCAAGAATTTTGCTGAACATGAACTCTGTGTTCTCAATTCCTTCAAGGCGAGCATCTACTGTTGCCCAGCCATTTTCAATGAGTATTGGTGAAGCACAGTCCGTGTTTGACATCTAGCCCAGCCACACTATAGGCCCAGTACAGGCGAGCTGTTCGTCAAGCCCAGCCCCATTGATACCGGGCCTTTATTAGCGAGCTTTCGGCGAACGACCCAGCAACTGTGACGAGCTTTTGTTTTGTCACCGTAGGCCACGCAGGTAAGGCTTCAAACCTCAGCCACGTTTTGCTTCTTTATGCATGGCCCTTTATAAGCGAGCTTCCGGTGTACAACCAAGCCAGTCGTATGTGTCGTCGAAGCTTTCAAGGCGAGCTGTCAGTTTAGCCCAGCCAAGGCGAGCTGTCAGTTTAGCCCAGCCAAGCTTCGCTCTCGTCAAAGCACGTTGTGCAAGCAAAGTCTCTTGTTCGGGGGACCCTTAGAAACAGTGGTCAACCAAAAACATTTCTGAGTATACCCCTATGTAGACCCCAAAAGAAGTTTACGCGTGGGTATACGTTTCTTTTTGAGGGTATAGATTTTAAAGGGAAACCAGAGGGAACCTATACCCATTTGGGGGGTGCCCTCAAAAAAAAACACACCCGCGTTTCGTTTCGCAGAAAACGCTTTTACAATCCTGAAACCGAAGAGCTTTGAACCTATATATATTCGGGTTCGGGCGCGTTTGTTTACAGCATTGGTTCGGTTCTGACAACAAACGCCCGAGCAATTGGCAGCAGCGTCGTTTCGGGCATTTAACCACTTGGCAAGCAACTGGATGGACGGCGAGCAGGCACAATATATAGGCAGTGTTTAGCGTGCACTTTGGCAGGGTCGTACATTTGTGCAGCCGAGCTCTTGTAATCAACGTGTGGCATTGAGCCATATAATGCTGGCAAACAATGTAGTTTCAGCAAGCGCCTGCTGTTTCGTGTCTTTCTTCAGGGCATGTATAGACGCTGTCATTTGCTTCAGCAACAGCACTATGGCTTCATATATACCGAAACCTAGATGAACTTCTGTCCAATCATGTCCAGATGTTCCTAGCCATGGATGCGCAATGACAGTAGCAGAAATTGGCTGTTTTTTGCTTGACCTCAAGCGTAAAAAACAAGCAGCTGCCCTTGTGTTGTGTATGTGCAAGCACCCGGACAGTTATGTTTGTGCATGGCGTGTGTGTGTGTGCGCAACTAATTGAAGGGCACTAAAACAAGTTGTGCTTGCAAGAGCCTTTGTGCTGGGGCTGAACGTCCTGCGAAGCGTGCCTTTGCGCGCCATGGCCACTCATGTGTTTTCACAGTCCCCCCAACGTCTGCCGCGTTGCCAAACAATCATCATGAAGGCTTCGTAATGATGGTGGAGCTTGCATGGGGTGTGATCCAGGCACAGATAAGGCCATGTTGTCGGTTTCGCTTTCTTTTTTGCACCGCCTGCCTAGAAACTGGCTCCTTCCCCCCCCGCCCTAAAAATAGTTGAACGCTTGACGCGTTTGGCGTTGGTAATCGAGAGATTTTGAGACCCAAAAAGAGTTGATGGTATAGTGAGTGAATCCTTTTTTCATAAACATGTACAAATGTATATTTGGATACGCACATATATATATATATATGAAACTATACATACGTACATCAATATGATTTTGCACACATATCTATATTTGCGCAGTTCTTTCCAAACATGAATATGAATATGAATATCTGTGTGTGTTAAAATACATATGTATATACATATATATGTGTATATATAAATATGTGAATACGTTTCAATATGACAATGAACTGTCTACTGGGAATGCCAACTATGCACTTCCTCCGGCATAGCCTTGGGTTGAGAACGGCAAGTTTGGGACATGTGGAAGTAATTCGGAGTGCGTGATGTGGATATTGCGAGTCTTACAGGCTGAAGTCACATTTGTTTTCCTACGATGGCCCCATATTATGTAGCCTTTGCGCCATTAAACCTATACTGCCCAAGATGCAACAAAGCCCTCAATAATAACGCTGTGCAAAACAGTATGACCGTTCCCTGTGGTCGAGCTGTCTCCGCGCCCCCGCAGGCAGCCCCTGAGCAGCCTTGCAAGGCAGTGGCGGGCGCAAAGGGCCGGCTTGGCCACAGTATGCTACAATTAGGGCGAAAAAAATAATTGGCAAACGTGTTTGCTAATTATAACCAGCACTCTTTATAGGCTTCTTGCTCGAAGCATTTCTGTTTAAAGGTTGGCCAGAAGTCTTGCGCAGTTTTTTTGTGACAGCCGCGTTGGCGACTGATTGTGGGGTTTCTTATTTTTTGTCGCCCAAATATGATGGTTTTGTACGCTCCCTTATTCTCACTTGCTCTTTTTTTCGGGAACAAGATCAAAATGCAAGCCCCCGAAATGTCGGTTGATGTAGTTACCAGCATGTGCTGCCATGTCATATAGCCAAGCATAACAAGGCGAGGATGGCAATATTATACCCCTGCTTCTTTTCAGAGGGCATCATGTACATGTTTTTCAGCTCGTTTGTGCTGAGCACCGTGCACATGGAAATGACATGTTCATTTTTAGGAAGCTTGCGGTTTCAACTTTTTTAAAAAGATGCATGCGTTTCCGCGTTGCCGCTGAAGCTACGTAAGTTCACCATGGCCTACTTACGCGTTCACGCCGGCATACTTAGCAAGTCAAGCTGGTGTACTTAGCACACATATTGTAAGTTTGCCAGGGGTAGATAGTATGTTCACCGGCGAACTACTTACCAACTTCGCCAGCTGAAATGGCTATGTGTGCTGTCTGAGGTACTAAGCGCCCCATGTTTCCTATCTAGATAGTAAGCAAGCCGACCGCCCAAGTAAAGGCTCAACAAAGCCCCCCTCCTCGTACCACCCTTTGGAGGTTCAAGTAAAACCCCTCTGAACCCCCCTGCTTTTTCTAGGTTCCATGTCACAAACGCATTGCGTGCTCCCTGATTCTGGGGTCAATCATCATCCACCTAACGAATCCCCACGCAACAAGCCCGTTGAGGTTGCTATGATGTCCACCAAACCGATTACTGCCTTAAAGCTTGACTTGGAAAAAGCCTTGTACGGAGTCAACATATGCAACTCGAAAGTAAAAAGGACTCAAACCTAATTGCCCAAAAATGGAGACTCTCCAGCTCCTTCCCAAGCCGATCCCTCATTTCCCCCACCCCAAATCTATTTGATCTTCGGACCATTGCTTTGTGCCTTGGGTAAATCTGCAACCAAATGACCCCTGCAACCGCAAGCATGAGTTCCACGCCAGAGCAGTGTGTGTGTGACACCCCTCCCGCCCAGTTCACTTTAGCCCTTGCTCCAAATTCCCATGTTAGTTTGTTTCTTTATTGCCTTTGGTTCTTTCATGTTTTATTCGCAATTCGATGGCCTTTCCCTTCTTATACCTTTCCCATTTGTGCTTGTTTCTTCTAGGCATGAGGTCAATTCACGAGCCCAAAGCGTTGAGGGTAAAGTGGCCGCCAGGTCAAGAAAATACAAAGCGTGGGTGATCTTCGGATTTTTGTCCGGGGACCGCACTCATCAGGGGTGGTTCCCCTTGTAGTAAGCACACAATCTACTTTAAAGGTTTCTCTGACAGGAGGTTGAGGTTCCCCCACAATGGCTGCTTTCGAGGACATATAGTCTATAACCTATCTGTTGAGGACGTACATATATATATATATATAATCGATTTTCGGATCCTCCGGATTTCCCTTTTTTGCGAGGTTGAGGTCATCCGTCAGCCATTTCCTTTGGTTCCCGAAGGTCTCCAATGGGCATCTCTGGGCTTATGGGGTCACCCCACCAAGAGGAAACTCATCGTGTACACAGTGGCCCAAAACGTGAGGTGTAATATCAGCTGGGCAGGGAGATGCAGAACCCTGATATCTTGTCCATGGTAAGTTATTACCTCCTAAACTTAGCGAAGGGTATGGTGGTTACCACTGCTGCTAGGGCCGTACAAGAATTCCAACGGGGTTGTGGGATACATCAGCTGGGTCCGCAAAAAATCCAACCTTGTGTAGGTTAAATAGAAAAACTACTTCAGGGGCGATTCAGACACACCAAAGAATGTGCCCAATTCGATCAATCGCAGGGGACGCATTGACATCATTTACAAAACCTTTTGGAAACATCGAGGGCCCTGGTACATGGCTGGACCCATCTACCCAACTATTTCCAAACAAAATAACCTAAGCGCATTTTGATTGACAACCTCCGGCCAAAACGCGCGGTCGCGC